GCATCGCATATTCCGTGGGAGTTTCTGTTTTGCTGCCATAAAATGCTGTAATGATATATCACCACTGATCAGAAATTGTAAATCACTTGCCACTTTCAAAACCTTATTAAAAAAGTTTCTAATTTCTGTGCGCGAATCTGGCACAAACGCACGCACTCACTCGCTTACTAACGCACGCATGCACGCACCCACACGTGGGTACACACATGGTATGTGGGTGCACACATAGACAATTTTTTCTGTATTTCTTCGAATTTGTTTTTCTTACTTCTCAGACATGCAGGTTTCCTTACAATGATTTTCTTCACCGTCGAGCTCGTGGTAAATCGTGAATGGTGCCGATAGGGATCGAATGCGGGTTGCTCACGTACTGTAAATTTGCAGTGAGCGCTTAGCCCCTGAGCTACCACGGCTCTTCGGATATTTCGAAGATATGTCAAGTTCTGCGTTGGGACAGCGTGGCACACCCCCCTGGACATTCCCCTCTTCTCCTCGACTCCTCTGATTTCTGAGAAAACTCTCTCAGAAATGAGAAGCCTGTGCCCAGCTGTGGGATGTGTGGCGGGTGGAAGGAAAAGGGGAGATCTCCCGCCGGGCAAGTTGTTCTGCCCGGGGAGCAACGCTCCTGTTGGTAGTTCGGAGCTATTCTATATAAGCTGTTTTAACTTCGGAACTTTGTTAGTGCGATTTAGGCTTCGATGTATTTAGCTTGTGGCGCGACGACAGCGTCGCCACAGATGTATATAGGCTGTAACTTTAACTTAACTCTTTTATATATAATATGTTCCACATTACATTCCAGTACCTGAAATTATATTACGATTTGCTTTGTTTGCTCATTACGCTTTATACTCCTGGCTCCACTGAAAATCAGCTATATTATGGTTGTAACACGTATGGCCCGGCTCCATCTGGGCAGAAACACGGTCTCACAGAATACCAGCGTAAAATAGCAACTCGATGCTGCTGTGTTCTAATTGGTGAGTGCAGAGAACCGGATACCTTTTTTACTTTAAACGGGGCATTCCATCTTAAGTCCTCAAGGGTGACAACAACAACACAATGCAGATGTCTATGGGACACAACATCCACTTACAATCAGGTGGGCTGTTTCCTCGCTTGTCAATCTTATTTCAATAACAAAACTGCAAATACAACAATAACAAATCGGCACACTGCCGATGACATGTATGTACATATAATGTATACGGGGTAAAACAAATGTTGTTTTTATTACCATCATTACAGCCCAACACAAGTCCACTGCTGTACATGGGCCTTCGATATTAATTCACAAGGATAGATATAGGTGTATACGGAGTCAAGCAAACATCATCTTCATTATCATTATTATAACCCTCCACATGTTTACTATTGAATATAGGCCGCGCCCAAGGAATGTCTCAAAGCACGGTCTTGAGCCACTTCCTGCATCTGTTAGTGGAGTTCATTAAGCTCCTATTTTACGCTTGTGTTTTGTGAGAGCGTGGTCATCCCCGGGACGAGCCGATCTATGCGTGCTGCTACTATAATTTAGCTGCAGCATGGCACTGCCACCTATATTTCAATCAAATCAATATTAGACGTAATGTGAGAAGCTCAATAAAAAGACTATTGAAATTGAAAACCATATTTATTTTTTATTTCTTTCCACCAACAATATAATATACATTAAAGAGAGCTACAAAGTATGTGTGTTTACATCTGAAGTAATACTATTTATAGGTGAAAAATAGGTAAAACCTGTATCTTAGGTCACCAGGTCCCCAAACGTAGATTTCCATAGACAAAGTAGGTAGATGTAACTACGATAAATGATTTCCTTCGTAATTGAACAATAAAACCGATACACTTATATTCTTGTTAATAACACTGTAATTTTGGTTACAACGGTAGATACTATAATTTACTATATACTATTAGCGTTTAGGATACACATAATTGAGTGTTTATTAGTAATAAGTAGAGGTACATAAATAAATAGAGTATAGTAAAATATAAATTAATATATATTTTATTATGTTAATAACACATAGATATTATTATTATACATGTACTTTATCAATCACCACATCTTATTTTTAGTTTATACTTATTTTATAGTGTACTAGCTCGCCAGGCAGACGTTGTTCTGCCCTTTCCAATGGCCCTTCCTACAAAAATCCTTGAATTCGCAATAAAATTTTTTGAGGGCCATTTAGCGGGATAAAAACTATCCTATCTCTCAAGTTGGACCAAAATACACACAGTGTGCAAAATTTCATTGAAATCAGTTCAGTAGTGTAGGAGTCCATCGCGGACAAACAACGTGACATGTTATTTTTATATATAAAGATTATATTATCCATTAGCTGGTAACCCGCGCGTTGCAGCCGCAGGATAAATAATTGTGAACATTTAGAAACAAAAGAAAGAATATGGAAGAGTTATATTGTTTAATAAGGAATGATAATGATGTAACTTTCAGAAAATTCGGCTGTACGATACGTGCGCCACCTACTTTAAGTTGCACTATGCCAATAACCTTTGCACAAGTGCAAGCCATACGTTGACAAAGTTTTACCGCAACCTGATGAACGGTATGGCAGCGCAAAAAATATGAACAAACAAATAGTAATTTTTATATATTAGAAGACAGTACAGTATAGTATGTATATATAATGTAAATATTGACACATAATCTAAGCTTGTGTATAACTAAGAAAATATTATCTTTTATAATACATGAAACAGAAAATAATGCTAAGAGTAGAACAATATTGTTAGTTAAAATTATAAAATCATAAATCTTTATTTGTAAGAATCTTCCAAAAATTTATTCCAAAAAGACATTGTAGAAGTAAAGTAAAGTAAAGTAAAATATAGTTTATTGTACACCAAGGAACATATTACAAAATTTATATATTTAAATGGACATTGGTACAACAGGCGGCCTTATCGCTAAAACAGCGATCTTTTCCAGGCAACCTTAGGGCAGAGGATACTATTTTTAAAAGAAAGCGGAAGGGGTGTACAGATAGAAAGATAAATAGAAGAACATAAGTGATTAAAGGAAAAAAAGTAAATGACGACAGGTAGTAACTTAAGAGGAAAGGTAATAAAGTTTTAATTTATTTTTAAATATAGGAAGAGATTTAGATTCTCTAATATGTAAGGGGAGAGAATTCCATAGTCGTATAGCGGTAACCGTAAAAGAATTAGAATAGAAGGAAGAGGAATGTCTAGGAGTACTTAGAAGGAGATTATATTGAGATCGTAGAGGTAAAGAGTGTAAACTACTTAAATATATAAATAGGTCTTTCAAATAAGAAGGAGTGGTCGGATTGAACAGAATGCAGTAAAGAAGATGAAGAATGTGAGTATTCCTGCGAAGGTCACCCTATCCTATAAAAAAAAAAGAAGGCGAATCGGTAACCACTTGAGCTTATGGCGGAATTCGGATATGTGGTCATACTTTCGTAACCCAAATATAAACCTTATGCAATAATTTTGAAGCCGTTCAAGTTTATTAAGTTGATCGACTGTTAGGTCAAGATAACAAGGGTCCGCGTAGTCAAGGATCGGTAAAAGAAGAGACTGAGCCAGCGCAACTTTAGTAGGAATGGGGAGAACATTGAGTAATCTTCGAAGTGAACCAACTGCGGCAAACATTCTTCTACTTACTTCACTCACTTGCGGTCCCCAAGACAAAGTCTGATCGAACATAAAACCTAAATTCTTAACTTTGTCACTGTATGGGATAAGTGTCCCTTCGAATATGACTGGCGGGAGCAGCGACAAAGTTCACCGAGAGATTAATTTCGAACTCCCAATAATAATGGCTTGAGTCTTCAATGGATTTACTTTGAGCCGAAATGAATTACACCAATGAGAAATACGAATAAGATCTTCATTAATTAATCTAATTGTATTGGGGAGATCCGAAATCTTACATTGAGAGTATATTTGTAAATCGTCTGCATATAGGTGGTAAAGAGAAGTAATGTCGGAACAGATCGAATTGATGAAAATAGAGAACAATAGAGGAGACAACACGCCACCTTGTGAGATGTCTTGACAACAGACCAATCAGAAAACGTGTCTTGAATTTGTACCCGTTGCCGGCACCCTCGCAAGTAACTATGAAACCAACCAATTACTTCAGGAGATATGTTAAGAGAACTTAGGACAGCGAGTAAAACATCAAAGTCTACAGTATTGAAGGCATTACTAAAGTCAAGCAATGTCAATACTGTAACCTGCTGATTATCCATGCCCAGGCAAATATCATCAGTGATTCTAACCAGAGCCGTAGTCGTACTATGACCGGGACGGAAACCAGATTGGAATGAATTCAAAAGGTTATGATTGGACAGGAAATTGCTCAGCTGTTGGTATATTAGGCGCTCGAGTACTTTAGAGAGAAAGGAAAGGATGGATATAGGACGGTAATCCTCATATGTCGGATTAGAATTTTTAGGGAGTGGAGTTACTAGGCCGTATTTCCAGCAAGAAGAAAAAACACTGGTGTCAAGGGAACGATTTAAAATAAGTGTAAGGATAGGAGCTAAAAGATCGATTAATGGGATAATCATCTTACGACTAATGCTGTCAGAACTAACTGCGTCAGAAGTAATGGCTAATATATTCTTCTTAACATCACTGACAGTAACTTGGCTAAAGACAAAAGGGGAAAAAATTAGGAGTTGATATAGCAGAAAGTTGAGCAAGTGTATTTTTCTTCGTAGCACTGTCTATAGTGGCGCTAGAGAGGAAATGAGCATTAAGCTTATTTAAATTCAAATTAAGAGATGCTACATTACGCTTTGATTTTCCAACCCCTAAAGATTTGACAAAGTTCCAAACTTTAGTTGAGTTATCTTCCTCAACAACAAATTTATAGATATGGCGTCGTTGACTATCTCTACACACCATATTGCAGCGATTTCGTGCCCTGTTATATTTCTCTCGGTTGTATTCAAGTTTGTCAAGTTGTTGTTGTGTCAAGAAGTATTCAAAACTTAAGCTTTAGCATTGGCAATAGTTCCATTGTCCGTCGTCAATTTTGGTACATAAATGGCATAATCAATGATATTAAGGTCGCAGGTGGTTACTGATTCCGCTTGAAGTGGAGTTCTGTACGGGAATACAATATTTAGTGTGTCGTTCTCCCTAAACCATTTGGCGTCTTGAGTCTTCATAATATGCGGTAAAATCCTGACGTCTCTAAAACTGAGCCCATTTTCTTTTTGAGCTCTCAAGTACATTACTCTGTGTCTGATTACGATCGACAATTCATCTTCTTCGAAAGCCGGTATTTTATATTTAAGAACGTAGTTATTTAAACCGAACACTTCACTAATTAAGTTGCTGGTACTTACATTGCAGTTTTGCTGGATATCTCTATCAGAGGTGATGAAACTGCGGGAAACTTTATCGAATACCCTTTCGTAGTGGTAGTTGTTCTTTTTGTTTAAACGGTTTGTGGCTTTGCAAGCGGGATCGTTGTGGCAGTGTTGGCGACTGTATGCGAAACTGAAGAGAACAAATAAGACCACGAAACGATACATCGTGTATGAGATTATGATTGTGTATGTTGCAGGGACCAAGTTGAAACAAAGTTATCGTTATAGATACAGCGGATGTTGTTAAGTCAAAGTTTAAGATAATCGTATGTGACGATTTCGGGTCGTTGAAATAAAGATAACGTTATTTATTTAATGCGTAAAATATATTTGATTTAGGAAGTTGTTAATATCCAACAGCTTTTGTTACACGAGTTCGCAAAATAATCACGATCATAGTTGAAAATCATCGCTAATACATTGCTTACCAGAAACAGTGTTAATCACATGCATTAATTGATTCTGATAAATCTGGTTGTCAACGACACTCCGAGCGACAAACGAACGGTTGAATTTATAATATATTTTTTTTATTTACATAACATAATATACAATATTTTATATTTCATTATATACAATATTAAAACTGTAATAAAAAAAACTAAATCTAGTAATTTAATTATCAAACAGCCCTACTTGCCGCGGTATCGTGCCAAGAACGCCGGCTGCGTAAAATTGTAATTTCATACTAGAACCTCTAATATTTACCCTATAATAATTATTTTATGGGTAATATACCAGAAGTCTTCATAGTTATAATTATATTCTTTTATATCGACCCATTAAAAATATACTGTTGCTACTGCTGGACATACGCCTCTCCCGTTGTGGGGACGTATAAAATGATTATGATGATGTCTTTTTGTACAAATTGGTCCACGGCATTAAACTAAACGAAAAATAATTCACTTTTCCTTTGTCGTTCCGTGACTAAAGCCTACACCAAAGGTTTTCGAAAGAACCGCTCATATATGTAGGATAAGGTGTTGTTTAGTATCTCACAGTTTAACATCTCGATAAATATAGTTTCCTTACGAAATTCTATTACGCGGTGAAACAGTCCATACGTAAATGTTCACAGCTCATAACACTGGTGTTTCTACTGCAAGTAAATATAGCCGAAAAATGGCATTAAAAATCTTATAAGTGAAAAAAAATCAAAGTTGCCAGGTTAACGGATATTTAAAATTTTTGGTGAAAATAGAGCAACAATCAACGTATGTAAATGGCATCCTATTAATAATGTCTTTTAAGTAGTATAATAAATAATATTTTCCTAAACAAAAACATCATCTAAAATGAAGGAAATAAGCTTAGGAGAGTCTATCAGTTTGTGGTATCAGAGCTCATGACGCATTCTTCATGAAGTGTTTGATGCATCATGAAACTATGTTCAAAAGTATCAATTCACTTAATAAGCAGGTATATGACTATTTGCTTGACCTTACCTGGTACTGCGCATACAGGTAAGTCGCAAAAAAATTCGCCCAAAAAAAGTGTTTCATTAAAATAATAATAATGACCATCCGTCAGCTAAGTTGATAAAGAATTAAGAAAAAAATGGCAATGGAAAAAAACTCAAAAAAAGTTTGATTTTCAACATTCTCACAAAAGGGCAACATTCTCACAAAAGGGCAGACAGTTTCTCAGGGAATTATTTAAATAAACCTTATCTACTCACTGGTTTACCACCAAGTAATTTCGGCACATTACTTTATGGGGAAAGCTAGCGCATCGCCGTAGGAGTCCGACTAGGAGCGGCGATTTGTTAACCCAATCAGTGCCCCTGATGTAGAAGCGTCGATGAGTTTGGGCTCCACGGACTTTCATGTAAGAAAAGTACTGGTTTTCACGGCAACGTTCTTTGAACGACATCATCCGTAGGGCTCTTGTATCTATAAATGTTCCCTTGGTTTCAGAGTCTTGTGGAATATTTGGAGATGTTGGCAATAGACCCAACGGTATGACATTGGTCCCTTGGGAGAGAGGTAAGGCCCTAGTGTGGGATACTACTTGTGTAGACTTTGGCAGCCTCTCATCTCCCTGAGTACGTCGTTTAGAGCCAATTCCTTCCATTAAAACATACTTTAAGCCACCGAAGAAGATTAGTCAATTTTTACCATCCGTCAATTGTCATATCCCTCTACAAGATGCAAGAGTATAAGCTGGATTGTGAATGTGGTCTGTCTTACATAGGACAAACAAAAAGATCTATAAAAACCCGCGTTAAAGAACTTAAAGCTGACTTGAAGTACCGACGTTCCGAGAAGTCTGCAGACTGTAAACATGTTTAAGATCGTCCCCGCCATTATATTAGATTTAATAGCATACAAATCCTCGCAAAAGAACACCGATACCTACCAAGACTGATTCGCGAGGCTATTGAAATTAAAAAAAACACCCCAATTACAATAGAGAAGATGTATGGGTGATGCCATCCACTTCAGATCCTACAATTAATAAAATTAAATCCAAAACCAAGCATACAAGGATTGGACCAAAAATTTATATTCAAAAACTGAAGGACTAACTATGATATCGGGACGTCAAATACCTCAGTCGCCCCCGTGACCATGAGTGCTGTAAAGCACCCGAAACTTCAAGAATTAAAAAGTTAAATTAAACCTTAGTAACTAATACTTAAATACCGATTCGATTACTGCCTTTTACAGATGACTTTCAAGATTCTATCAATGCAGTTCTACTCATAGTAAAATTAAAAATAAACCTTATTTTATTTTTAATTTTATTATAGGTAGAACTTTATTTGAACCATTAGTTTCATTTGATATTTATGTACTTTTTCTCAAAAGCCTGTGTTCATTTACTCATGTGAGCTATGAAATCGGGACTGTCACAAAAAATTTAAAAGGTATGTCTGAAAATATGAAAGCTATCCTAATATGTGACAATCTGTTATAAAAGTCTTATTAAAAGTAAAAAAAAGTAAAGACGCAGCTTACACACGTCTTATTACTCTGCACTGGGCTGCTAATTAATTACCCATAGTGCGAAATAGTGGTTTTCACATGTCTAAAAGATTTTAAATTTCACTAATTTTAAAACTACTCAGACATCAAAGTTTCCCTGCGAAGTTATCTTTGAGCACGTAGAAAATAAGCAAATAAAATTTCGCACACTTTTTGTTCCTGTGCTATGAAATCTTACGGCGAACTACACGACTCTCGTATTTGCTTAAATAAAACTTATATAAACTGAAACAAGCTTTTTCAAGATTGTGTGTTTCATTTACATATTCAATAGATCCTACAACTAATACACTTAAAATAACTACTGATTTAATAAAAAAATACTCCGAATAATTAAATCTCGACGTGAATTCGACAATTCCATTATGTGCCATACCACCGAGGTTGTATTGGTTACCGAAAATACACAAACCAAACGCTCCACTTCCTCCCATAGTGAGCCAGATCGATTCAACAACTTATAAGTTGGCTCAACACTTGGCAAAACACTGTCTCAACTGAGAGGACATACCAGAGCAGACACAAATGATTCATACATTGTTACTGCGATAAAAGACCTACATCTCGCTGACAATGAAACTATGGTCAGGTCAGTTTTGATGTTCAGTCACTATTCACATGCTTACCTATTGAAGACTGAATCTCAATTATAACTAGGAAGCTAGGAGATAACAATGCTTCCGCACGTCGAGAGAGTATTGAAAGACAACAAGCTTCGTTTCCCGCGCCTAAGTCACAGTGAACGATTGAAGCCGGTCACAGTCGAACGTGTGCCTGCTGTACTACCTTATGTCAAAGGAGTCACAGACAAGGTTGGGTACATCTTGAAGCTAGCTTCCATTAAAACATACTTCAAGCCGCCGTAGAAGATCAAGAAGTCAATTTTTACCATCCGTCAAGTGTCATATCCCTCTACAAGATGCAAGAGTGTACAAGCTGGATTGTGAATGTGGTCTTACATAGGACAAACAAAAAGATCTATAAAAAAACCTTCGTTAAAGAACATATAGCTGGCTTGAAGCACCGACGTTCCGGGAAGTCTGCAGTCTTTAAACATATTCAAAATCGTCTCCGCCATAACGTTAGATTTAATAGAACACAAATCCTCGCAAAAGAACACCGATTCCTACCAAGGATGATTCGCGAGGTTATTGAAATTAAAAAACACCCTAATTTCCATAGCGAAGATGTATGGGTGCTGCCATCTACTTGGGATCCTATAATTAATAAAATTAAATCCAAGCCCAAGCATACCACTGCAAGACTTCAAGATACTATAAGCTCATTCTGCGTAGATTGGCCTTAAAATGGTTGGAAATACCTCAGTCGTCTCCGTGACCATGTGTGCTGTAAAGCACCCGAAACGTCGGGAATTAAAAAGTTAAATTAATCGCGATAGAATCCGTAAAAAATAGTTTCATTTAATATGTAGTGTTCGCATAAATATAAAGAAACCATTCCTTACCTTCAGCTTACTGTTCTTTCTTGTGCCTAGTTTTGCGTTAAGGTCTCCCATTAACACCGTATAGTTGTTTTGGAGAAATGCATGGCTCTAGATACATCCTTATACATTTCCTCCACCTCCTCATCGTGATGTGTCGAGGTTAGTGCGTAGACCTGTATAACCTTTAGCAAATACTGTTTGGTGATTCTGAGTATAAGGTTCGCAAATCTCACACACACTCACAATCTTTACAACGTTGTCAAAGAGAGATCTTTGGACTTATAATTCCGATACCTACTTGGGACAGATGGTCACCCTTCCGGTGATAGAACAAGTTGCCGGATTCGAGGATTACCATGTCCTCCCCCTTTCTTCGGACCTCAGATAATATTCCAGCGCAACTAATCTATCTTTTCTTCCAGCTCCAGAATCTTCTCGTCAGTCCTGAGGGTTATATTATATTATATATATTATATTATATTATATATTTTTGGTTATTAGGTAGCAACCGAAATTCCACCGGAGATATTTAGGACCCCCTGCCCCGTCGTTACCATAGTCACCACCGTAGCCAGGAATGGCGGGGCTGGAAGGGAATGGGAGCCGTCTCTTCGTAACTCTCATCATGGGGGGTATATTGTCATAGCTACCACGCATGGTGAGTGGGTTGGCAACCGTAGTTTTTATTGTTATTTTGCTGTTATCAGAAAGATGCTGCTGTCCATGTTCTG